TTCCAAGGGAAGATCTGATCCCAATCCTGGTTCCGAGGACAGTTCTGAGCCTGGTTCCAAGGGAAGCTCCAATCCTGCTCCTGAGGGAAGCTCTGATCTTGATCCCAAGGAAAGTCCTGAGCCTGGGGCCAAGGGAAGCTCCGATCCTGCTCCTGAGGGAAGCTCTGATCCCAATCCCGAGGGAAGTTTTGATCCTGCTCCCGAGGGAAGTTTTGATCTCACTCCTGAGGGAAGCTCTGATCCCGAGGGAAGCTCTGAGTCTGGTTCCAAGGGAAGCTCAGATCCTACTCCTGAGGGAAGCTTTGATCCCGATCCCAAGGGAAGCTTCGATCCCGATCCCGAGGGAAGCTTCGATCCCGAGGGAAGCTTCGATCCCGAGGGAAGCTTCGATCCCGATCCCGAGGGAAGCTTCGATCCCGATCCCGAGGGAAGCTTCGAGAACAACATCAAGGGAAGCTTCGAGTACAATCCCAGGCGAAGCGCTGATCCTGACCCCGAGGGAAGCTCTGATCCCGAGGGAAGCTTTGAGTGCAATCCCAAGGCAGGCTCTGATCCTGATCCCGAGGAACGCTCTGACCCTGATCCCAAGGGAAGCTCCAAGCCCATTTCCAAGGGAATCTCCATCCCCGGTTCCATGGGAAGCTCCATTCCCAGTTCCAAGGGAAGCGCCGCTGGAATGCACAGGGCACACAGCAGGATCACCACCACGGGGCTCTGCTCCATCTCCCAGGTGCTTCTGTGTCTGGGTTCAGCACTCCGAACCCCCTGGAATCATTCCATGAATCTTCCAGGTCCTTCAGGATGTCTCTGACATCCCACCAGATCTAATCCTTCCACCTGGGAAAATCCTCCCGGATGTGGAGCTGGAAGCACAAGTGAAAAAAGACACAGCAAGGCGTTACAGGATCCACCAGGGCGGGAATTCCAGGAATTCCATCGGGAATGTTCTTTGAACAGGACAGGAGGATGTTCTGATCCATTGGATCCAATCCAACTCTGCCCAAATCCCATCAGTTTTGGGTGTGTTCGGCAATTTTGGAGTGAAATTCTCTCCTCTCTCTAAGACTCCCATCATTATTTTTGATGGGTTTCATTTTGGATGGATTCCCACTGGAAAAGCAGCAGCTCCAGTTTCATTTTCCCCACCAAACTCTGAATTTCCAGCAGGAATTACTGCTGGCATCTCCCAAACAATGGAGGAAATCCCAAAATCCCAATTCCTCACGGAGGCCCCGTCCAATCCTCACTTATACAAACACATCCCAGTCTGGAGCACTCCCCAAATCCAACCCCAACATCCCAACCTCTACTGGGGCTGATCCATGGGAATCCAGGGTGGTCTGAGCCTGGTGGGCTCTGGTCACTCTGTGTCCACACCAGGCCCTGGAGCTGTTCCCATGGGAGCAGCCCTGATGTCACAGACGGGGCACAACAGCCCCAAACATTCCAAGGAAGAACCCTCAGGAAGCTCCAGCAAATCCTGAGGGCCTTCAGAAGCTCTGGGTGAGGTTCTGGATGAAATTCCCAACCTTGGAAGAAGCCACAGGAGTTGGGAGAGTTCTCAGAGCCCTCATTCCTGAGGGATCCAACCCCAAACCTCCACTGATGGATCCACAAGAATCATTCCCATCCCAGGAAAAACGCTCAGAGAGGANAATCCATGGAACGTCCTGAGTTGGAAGGGGAGGATCCAACAACGGACGATCCCAAGACTCCCACCCCAAATTCCTGATCCTAACAAAGAGCCAAAGCCGGGGAATTGCGTCAATCTCCGTTCATTTCTCGTGCTGCTCTTTTCCCACAAACCCTGCCCAGGCAGCAGAGCCCGAGGCCGAACACAGTCCCCATGATCACCCCGCTCCCAATTCCCAGCACGACCTCGGAAAACCACTGCTTCTCCCAAAAACGCTCCCGCCGCTCCCGGGGCCCCGTGGCGTTTTCCGGCACTTCCAACCCTTTGGCCGCCAGCTGCTGCTCCCAAGTCAGGGATTTCTCGAAGTCCAGATTCACCAGATCCCTGGGGATCACCCTGAGGCCGAAGTAGATCCTCTTGACGAGCTGGAAGGAGCTCAGCACCTGCACGTCGCAGCGGTAGGTGCCGGAATGCGACTCCAGCACCGGCGAGAAGCTCAGGGAACGGCTGGGGTTGCTGAAGGGATGGAACAGGAGGTCGTTGGTGGTGATGAGCCCCC